AGTGTCCTCCTCATGTGCTCCGATCTTTCTACTAAATTGGATGGTCTTTTATTTATTTTCACTCTTTGGATTCATCAAGCAACTTTCTATATGACTTTTCATTGTAGATGTGCCATTCTTTTTCGAATCAGCGGCATAAGTGACACCACAATACTTGCAAGTAGCCCTTTTGGTTTTTTCGTCCCTCGTGAAATGCTGCCAAACCGGGCTTACTTGTCGGGCTTTCTTCCTTTTCTTAGTACATTTCCCTTCTTCCTCAGTTGTCTCTTGTGTTTTAGTAGTTTCGGTTTCTTTTTTACTAGATTGAGACTCTATCTCTTTTTGCTTTTCTGATGAACACATCTAAAAAAATTAAGCTAAAAGTTAAACAATCACAAACAACATGCTTTCACTACATGAGATTTTTCAAATTGTACTAACTGCTTTCACTAATAAGAGAGAGGATATGGAGATTCCAAGCATTAAATCCAAAGAAGGCAACTTAAACAATAAGAACAATGCAAAAAGCTTTGAATTTTGATACGTTTAAGGCAAACAAATTTACATCTCGGGGAAGCTTAAACACACCAACATTATGTCCAAACGTACGTTGAAGGGTAAACGTCAGTGGAAGTTGCTCCCAACAAGAAAAGGGACCAACTATTCTTGGACATATATTCCATTCATGTCATCTACGTGTGTGTGTGTATATATATATATATATATATATATATGTAAACATCCACTTTTTACACCAATCACACGATCTAATTCTTCTTCATGTACAAATATACATGTCACATTCTCGTTGGGGTCTTCTTGTAATTGCCCTAAATTTTGAACGGTCCGTTCCCAATATAAATGAAACTTTCTTATCAAGCATTTATTTTTACAAATGGCTCCCGCTTTGGCACCTATATACATATGTGTGTGCGCGCTTGTGTACCCTCATTAACTTCCCTTTTAAGCCTTAAAGCATATATATACGAGAGCTTTGGACACAATTCCAAGATATTAGCAATAAACAATATGTGCACTCATGAACTTAAACACGTACAAAAGTTGGCCGTTTCTTCATCAATCATCAACATCACGAAACAAAAAAAAAGTGGGGAATCAATCATCAACATAAACAATAAATGCAACAGCAATCCAACATCAATCCAATAGAAAGTGGGGAACAACAATCACCCAAAATCAAACGCAACAACAATCATCAACATAAACAATATTTATCAAACATCAATCATCAACATCACAAAACATCAATCTAAAATCAAACGCAACAGCAATCGCCCAAGCTTGATTGATGGAAATAGAAAATGGGGAATCAAAAGCCTAACCTCGGCGGAGCTTGGCGGAGGCGGACGTGCGAGCTTGGCGGAAGCGAACGTGCGAGCTTGGCAGAAGTGGACGTGCGATCGGCGGCTGGCGGCTAGGGCTTCTTTCACCGTGAGATGCGGACATGCGATCGGCGGCGGACGTGCGATTGAGGACGCCTGAGGAGAGAGGCGGCGGCTAGGGCTTCCCTGAGGGTGGGTGAGAGTGAGAGAGGTGAGGTGTGAGGGTGGGTGGTCGGTCGTGTGGGTGCCGGGTGGGTGGGCCGGTGGGGGGTGTCTGTCTAGGGTGAGATTGAGAAACAAAGAGAGTGAGAGACAGAGAGAGGCAGATTGGCAGAAGAGAGATTGAGAGAAATGAAAGAGGGTTTTGTGATTCCTAAGAGTGAAAACGACATCCACTCTTCAGAAATGACAACATAAATTAAAAAAAAAATGAAAACATTAAAAAAAACCTCGGTCGGTTCAGTTTTAACCGACGAGCCCACAACAAAACTGAAACCGAACCGATTATCTTGCTGATCGGTCGGTTAACCGAACCGAAGTGGTTCGGTTCCATATGGCACCGCCGTTTCGGATTTTGAGCGGTCGGTTCTTCGGTCGGTTGCGGTCGGTTTTAGTTTTACGGTTTTTTTGTACAGTCCTACCGTATTTTAGAATGTGTATAAGAATATACTATCTAATTAGTAATTATAAACTTTTCCTTTTAAAGTTTAAATTTCATATAATTTCTAGGAAATGATAACATAGCGGACAGGGTGGGGAATGATTTTCTATCCCCATCCCCGCTTACTAAACTCATACCTCTCCCCACCATATCCCCACTTAGGGGGGAATGGAGTGTTGCTGGGGATTTTCCATTGAGGGATCCAAGTGTTTCCATATGATACCTGGACTCTACTATTATATTTTTTTTAAATAATAATATATCATGTTAGTAGAATTTACGTGTCAAACTATGGATATTGTTGTGAGTAATAGTAAGAGTGGCCGTAATATTTATCCACAAAATACATGTTATATTTATGTAAATTCCCCTATAAATTGTAATAGTGTTCAACAATGTCTTTCTTTAGTTATAAAGAGTATAAGATGTCATTTGCTTTCAACAAAAAGGTTTGAAAAGTGGTTCAACTTACGAAACAATCACACTCAGAATGTCTATGGCTTGTGATGTTTATAAACTTAGGGACTATGAAGAGGGGAAGAGCAAGTACGAGCTCGTAATTTGGCATTGCTTTTGCAGGTTGCTTTTAATTTTTTTAAAGAAGTTACAATAAGTTAGCATGTTTGGTAGTCCAGTAGCTTTTAAAAACTACTATCAAACAGTAGAATTCGAGAAGCAGATCAGGAGTTGCTTTTACACACTAACTTCTGCTTCATTGTTTAAATTTACTAAAATAACCATAGTAATGATAATACTTCATTCTCAATCTACTAATTAATTTTTTGATACTAAATTTAAAAAAAAAATATTATAAACATCTATTTAAAAATAAAAAATCTTTAATGTAATACTTCATTCACAATCTACCAATTTTATGTTTTCATACAAAATTAAAAAATATTTATTTAAAAATAAAAATCTTTAATAACTATACTATTTTATATTGTTCGCAAATATTTTTGATAAATTTATAATTTTTTAAAAACAACAACAAAAAATAAGAAATTTAGTAGATGTATAATTTATCTTCTTGAATAAAAATAATTTATACTTGAACAAAAATAATTTATTTTGAAAATATTTAAAGTAATTTAAATAATAATTTGTTTCAATGTTTAGTTAATTGTATATATCCACAACAATTTTGTATACGGTTTTTCAAACACTTAAATTTATACTTTTGCTATTCACAGCAGTTTTAAAAAAATATCAAACACCAACATGCTTTTAATTACAACAACTTCTGATTAACAACAAAACTATAGTAAAAATTTTTAATAGCACAACATTGTTAAACTGGTCCTACATCATTCTTCTATTTGTGACCTATCGGTATTTTATTTTGTAAAATGTGCATTAATAGTCTCTTAGGGCCCGTTTAGTTCACTGATTCGAGCTTTTAATTCGAGTTTAGATGTGACTTTATGTGAGAGCTTTTTATTGTAATAAAAAAGTTAGACGTGACTGTTTCTAAGAGCTTTTTACTGTAGCAAAACTCGAATTCTAAACTCAAATTGGTGAAATGAACGGGGCCTTAAGTTAAGAAAAATATAAAAGAAAAAGAGAAAAGGCAAACCTAATAAAGGAGAAAAGGAACATCCCTAAAATTCTACAGAAGTCGGGGAACACTAAATTTTGACCCTATGCCAAATAAGGTCATAAACCAATACTGCAAATACACAAGGATTTTAGGAATCCGTTTTTTTTTTTTTTTTAATGAAAGGAACATAAAAGTTTAGGAGCGATTATAGTTTAGGAACATAAAGTTTAGGATGCCAATTTTATCCATTAATTCTGAGAAAAAAAAAAAAGAAAAAAACCATTCCATGTAAGCTTCTTTGGGATAATATTTTTCTTTTGATTTCTTATTCAATTTTTAGTACAAAACTCTTTATAATATGTTTTCAGAAATATTAAGAAGACCGTCAATTTAAAATTGAAAAGGAAAATAAAAGGCCTAAAAAGAAAAGATAGGCTACAGAATTTCAATTTGATCAATGAAGTCCCAAACAAAAATGAAATAAAAATAAGTTTGAAACTCCAATAAATTTCTTCAAAAGAATTCTATTCATCGAGAAGGGATTAATTGTTTTCCGTATATACTTTTCCGTTTTTCATATTTCTAAGTGTTTTCCATATTTACTTTATTTTTTTCCCTATTCCTTGTTGTTTTCCATATATACACTTTAGTGTGTGGTATTTCTGATCGTTTTCCCTGTATACTCTCTAGTTTTTCCTATTTCTAATTGTTTTCCATGTGCACTCTTTAGTTCTTCAAATTTCCATATTAAATTAAACACATAAATGTTTCTTAAGAAGCACAAATGAATATAGTATGAATTGTGATTATAAGCATAGCATAGCAGTAGTTTTATGTCTAACGTTCCCACAAAATGTTAAGTACAAATCCCCCAAATTCAAATCCAAAAAAAGAAAAAAGTTATGAATTTAACCCCGTGTTTAGAATTGATTCAATTTTTATTTTTCACGTTTTTTAAGAAAGAAAAAATGAAAATGTTTTTAAAACGGTGTTGGCACAATAAAGATAAAAAACAGAAATGAAAACGATTTTTTAGTTTCGTGTATTTTCTCATCTCTCGAACAGAGAGAAAGAGAAAGATACATTAATGAGTTTTTTATATTGAAAATAATATATTAATAAAACTACTAAATACATTTTTAAAAATAATTTCTGTCTGAGATTAAAAAAGTTTTTATTTTTATTTTTATATAAAAATAAAATTATTTTAAAACGAGTTTCAAACGCACTATTCAATCCCAATTTGTTAAATTTACAATAAATAATGGAGACTTTTTTAAGAAAACAAAAAAGCATTTTAGTTACAATAACAAAGAAGGCCGTTTTGTCCTTATCTCAAATTTTGGTTCTGAACCTGGCCTAAATCGTTGACCTTTTCTTTTTTTCTATTTATAAAATGACCATTGTATCCTCTGGTCCTCATCCTATATAAACTCTCCGCCTGGGCCTCAACAGATCCACTACTTTATCTCTATCTCATTTCCTCACGCGCTGCCACGCGCCTCAATGCCTTTATAGAATTCACTCACCGAAGCAGAACCAAGTCCTGCAATTTCGGAGTCAAGTAATAAAACGTAAAGACGCTGAACGATTTTCCCAGGAAACAAACAGTCTGAGATTTTCTCGGGAACCAAACAGGCGAGAGAAAAAATGCAGAGATTCTTGGCGAGGAGTGTTTTTTCGGAAAGAGAGTTTCCGCGATGGAAACGATGCTTTTCCTCTCTCGCAGAAGCTCAGAAGGAAGCCTACAATGGCGTCGACGTCGCCGATGTTCCTAAAATCCCTCCTTTCGATTTCTCTCCTCCGCCGTACGATGGTCCCACCGCCGACGAGATCCTCGCCAAGCGCAAGGAGTTTCTCAGCCCTTCCATGTTCTACTTCTACAAGAAACCCGTGAGTTTCTCTCTCCATTTCCTTTGGATCTAAATCCATTACATAATATTTCGGAAATCAATTAAAATCAGACCAAACGATCGTTTCGAAATCATTTTGTGATATCATTCTTCATTGCTATTGAATCGATTTCATATTTCCCCGTTTTCTTTTAATTTTTGTTGTTTGCGAAATGATCAAAGATCACTGGAAACGACTTTTCCTTTCATTTTTTTTTTTTTTTTTACTCTGCATCAATCAAAACTTTCATCATTTTTGTTGTTTTCCTCGTAATATTGATTTGAGGGAATATTAATGATGCGTTGCTGTTGTTGTCGTTGTGTGGGAGCAGTTGAACGTGGTGGCTGGGAAGAGGCAATACTTGTTCGACGAGAAGGGAAGGAGATATTTGGACGCTTTTGGGGGGATTGCTACGGTGAGCTGCGGCCACTGCCATCCCGATGTGGTCGACGCCATTGTCTCTCAAACCAACCGTCTCCAGCACTCCACCATCCTCTACCTCAACCGCGCCATCGCCGACTTCGCCGAGGCCCTCGCCTCCAAGTTGCCCGGAAATCTCAAGGTCTTTTTTTGCCTTATTCGCTAAATACATCACTTGAAATGATGATCTCTATTTTTTGTTTTTAAAAACCTATCCATAGAACATATTTTATCGGTTGGTTAAGTCGTGATTTTTACGTAAAAATTAAAAATTAAAAAATATATATTTAACGGTTAAAAAAATTTAATTTATTAATACATCAATTTTATTAAAAAAATCTCTCTTTTAAAAATTAAAATGATATCAGAATCATAAAATATAACAATTTAACAAAATCTAATATAGATGTGAGTCATATGTGACTGTCTTTTCAACAACATTTTTAATAAAGAATTATAAAGATCATTGATATTAATCCTTACGAGTGAAATTAGAACTTAAAATAGATGCAATAGTGTAGTTAAGAATTATATCTAGTCTCATAAAATGTGTACCGTCGACTTAAGTCAACGGCCGTGATCATTGGTGGACTCTACAATAAAGGCACCACGCTGTAGAATCTCATATTAACTTAGTAGAAAAATTATAGACGCGTTTAAAATTTGTTTTAAAATATTTTTATTTTTTATATAAAAATAAAAATAAAAATATTTTTAATTTTAGACAGAAATTATTTTTAAAAATACGTTTAGTAATTTTATTAAGATATTATTTTTAGTATAAAAAAATCTATTAATGTCTCTTTCTGCTCAAGAGAGCAGAAAACGAAAATAAAAAATAAAAAATAATTAAAAATTATTTTTTATTTCTCTCTTATTTTACACTAAATTAAAAAAAATTTATTTTTTATTTTTATTGCATCAAACGTCACAATTTTATTTTTTTTTCTTAAAAAATATGAAAAATGAAAAGAGAATCAATTCTAAAAACAATTTATATTTTTATCTTATTATTTTTTCATGGGTGTGGGAACATAGGATAGGAGGGGCCCAGGGGGACTATGCCCATTTGGCTTTTACCATGTGCTGGACTGAGCCAAGCCGCATAGTAATAATGCTAATGATTTCGTGTAAAACTTATGTGGGTCTTTAATGTGAGATCAGGTAACTATGTAAACAAATATTGTCGTGTCTGGAAAGTATATTAAATTGATATATTCACGTGTCGAAAATTTTTAGAGGATGTTTGATAGAGAGATTTATTCTCTGATTTAAATTATGATTTGTGATTTACTATAGTATTTTCTCTCACAAAAAATATACGTAAATCAAAAATAATTCGAATCACATGATTTAAATCTTTCAACCAAACATCATCTTATTTTTTATTTTTATTTTTAGGATTGGCCAGTCTGGGCTATGTCCGTGTGCCTTTGTCGTGATGGGTTTGGTAAAGGCAAAGCCACACACTAACACTGTGGGCATCTTAAAATTCCATTTCCAACTTAACATATAAGTATTTAAGTGGTTAAGGGGCTGTTCTTTTGTTATTTTTAAGTTAAATGACTTAAATGTAAATTTTAAGTTGAGTTTGAGTTATAACTTGAGTTGAAGTTGTAACTTGAGTTTGTGTTTAGTTATGTACATTTGAGTTATGGTTTGAGATAATAATCTTTTTGAGTTTGTGTTTGAATGAGTCAAAACTTAAATTTATATTTAGATAGTATTTTAATAAAAACTCAATACTGATGAAAAATTTTAATAGGGTATATGGATGGGGTTTTATTCGTCTTTTCGTTGTCGACGCGTAAAAAAAAAATCATCTCAATTAGAATTAAAACGAAAAAATTATAGCATTTTTAACAATAAAAAAAATATTGTTCATTAATTTGAGTTTGAGTTTCTGAACTCGAGTTGAAGGAAAAATTTGAACTCAAGTTTTAGTCTCAAACTCGAGTTCAAACTTAAAAAAATATGAACTTAAATAAAGTTATAACTGAGAGTTGTTTTTTTTGAGTTTTTAACTCAACATCCCCTAATAATCATTCTAATAATTGGATGCTAATAAACTGTTGGAAACCCCATTAGTCCGATTCCCCAAGCCAATACCCACCAAATGGTTGGCAGTGATCTTGTTTCTTTTTTGCTTGAAGCTTTTTTTCTTTTTCAGTGAAAAATCTACCTGAATGCGTGCATGTATAGGTGGTGTTTTTCACGAATTCTGGGACGGAAGCAAACGAGTTGGCGATGATGATAGCGAGGCTCTACACTGGTTGCCATGACATAATATCGTTAAGAAATGCTTATCATGGTAACGCAGCTGGGACTATGGGGGCCACTGCACAGTGCAACTGGAAATTCAATGTCGTACAGGTAACATTCCTCACCTTATATACAAGGATGAAAATATTGATATTCATAGAAATATTGGTATTTAATTTTACAGATATATCGATGAAAATATTAATACCGGTAGAAATTGATATAAAATACAGAAATTCATATTAGATATATCGATGGAAATATTAATACCGGTAGAAATTGATGTAAAATACAGAAATTCATATTAGACATATCGATGAAAATATTAACACTTTATTTAAATGAGTTTAAGAAATTCTAAAATATCTAATAGTACATAAATTAGATGAACTTTTCAATTATAAACAAATTGTATGATAAATATGCACAGTAAAATGTGATCATAATACCATAAATTAGAGTTGTCAAACGTGTCGTGCCGGACCGGCACGGCACGTCCAACCCTAGGCCCGTGACGGGCCTGGGCCGTGCCTGGCATGACCCTGCACAGTGCAAGGTCATGCCAGGGCCGGGCCTGAGGTGAAACGCTCAGGTCCGGCCTAGGCCCGAGGCCCTAGTCCATAAGGGTCAGGGCCGGGCTTGGGCCCAAGCCCTTCACGGGCCGGCCCTGACCCTTGTAATTATTTTTTGCAAAATTTAATTAAAAAAAGAAAATATATCATATGCCCTCAAAAGATGTGATTTTATTGAATTGAGATAATACGAATAAATACACATAAATGACTATCTCGTTAAAAATCTTGTCAAGTAAAACTTGTGGGGAGATCAAGACAAAACCTTAACGAAGGAAAAAAGAGTGCAGTATTCTAGGATAAGTAAATTACAAAACCTAAGTGCTTACAGAAGACTCTGTTATTTCTAAGTTAACAAAATAGTCTTACATTGAATTATCCGTATATTGTTGTTTTCGTCTTCTGACATCTTCCCAGTCTTTAACGCACATTAGTCCCTCCAAGATATATGGATGCATTATGCTCCTCTTCTCGTTAAGAATTCGGTTGCTTGCACTAAATGCTTGCTCCGATGCTACCGTTGATAGTGGAGTTGTCAAAATGTCACAAGCTATTACGAACAGTATTAAAAAATGATCGGTCTTGCTCTTCCACTACTGTTAGATGTCTAGTTTGTTGTCATCGATTACAAAATTTGTTTCAAAATATTTTACCAGTTCGGTAGACGGTTGTGTTGATGACGATTCTGCCGTTTTCTCTTTCTTCTTCAAGAAACTCCACAACGAGCCTTTAGATCCCGAACTGTTAGTTGACGTCGAAGTTCATTGTTCTTTTTTACATGTGCTGTATTTTGCTTCATACAAATCAAATAACTTTTCTAATATTTTCCTGGCGTCACTAATAATTAGTTGGATATCAATATCTAAATTTTTTGCTATAGCAGTCATTAAAGATTTAGTCTCGTCTACTCTACACATAGGATCTAAAATGGTTGCTAATGCGTATAACATAGGACAACCTGTCGAATAACTTTTAAATTTAGTTTCCATTAGCTTAACTATCTTTTCAAAAAGTTCAGTATCCCTATAATAAGAAAATGTTTCTGAAATATTAAATAGTTGATGTAAAGCTAAATGTGCAGTAGGATAATAAACTCTGAAAAGTAATTCAGTAGTATTGTAAAAACCTTCTAGAAATTAAAAAAAAAAAAAAAAACTCACCAATCTGCCAATATGTATCGAAAATTAATAGTTGATCGTTTTTACTGTTTACATACATTGCGATAAGCTGTTGATACAGGAGTATAGCCTTAAACATTAAATATGTGAAATTCCACCTATCCCTCACGTCAGTTGGGAATCTTCTTGGGCGCATCTAATTGTTCCTGCAATATTGTTTGAATTCTTGGAGCCAAGCTTCAGAACTAGATATAAAAAATAAAGATTCTCTAATATTTGTTAGATTAGCTGAAATATGTTCAATAATTGCCTAAACTACTAAATTGATTATGTGACATATACACCGTTGATAAAAAATTTCCCCCTAAACGATGGTTTCAAACTACGTTTAAACATATTAATTGCAGCCGTGTTAGCTGACGCATTATCAAAAGTAATAGTTAAAATTTTATCTTCTATCACATAAAACTGATAAATTTCTATTATTGTTTCAAAAATAGCACTTGCGTTATGAGGATATGGACATAAACGAAACCTATTATTCTATTTTGCAAAACCCATTCATTATCAACATAATGTGACATGACGCATACATATTCAGTTTTATTGCACCCCTCTCATAGATCCGAAGTACAAGATACAGTAGCATTAAAAGACCTAAAATTATCAATTAGAGATTGTCTCATTGCATAAAATACTTTCATGCAATCAGAACGAGTTGTGTTTCTACTTACCTGTTTAAATTGCGGGCAGAAGTTCGTCTGTATGAATTCTTCGAACGCCGCATCATCTGTAAAAGAAAGAGGTAATTCAGCACTAGCTAGAAATTTAGCTAGTGCCTCACGAGCACATTGTGCATCGTATGTAAAATTTTACAACCCTTGTGATGTGAGTGATAGTGTTTGTTGGCGGGAGTCCACACTCCCACTTTCGTACAACAGTAGACATGCTTTTCAATGTCTATCCAGATGACCAGTACTCTCACTATTTTTATTAAAAATGTGTTTTTTACAATACTTACATACCGCACGAATTTTCATTTCACCTGTTTTTTGGATTTGGTCGGGGTTCCTCTGTGAAATGCTACAATGCAGGAGAACTTTACGGTCTTTTTCCCCTGCTGCATTCTCTAGCTTCCTCGTTGTGCACTGAAACATTATCAACCGGAGCATTTTCTAGTTCAGTGGGGGTGGGGTTTTGAGCCATCATTTCATCCTTGAAAAATGCATCATCACTAAGCTCAGGGAGAGTAGTGAAATCAGGGAAGTTTGATGCGGCTATTTTCTGAAAATTGATTGAACTTAAACTTTGTAAATGAGTGGGGTTCTGAGCCATCATTTCATCCTCGAAAAATGCATCATCACCAAGCTCAGGGAGAGTAGTGAAATCAGGAAAGTTTGATGCGGTCATTTTCTGAAAATTGATTGAACTTAAATTTTGTAAATGAAAGAGTAAGAAAATGAGTGATCACGAGAAAAAAGCTTAGAATCAAAATCAAAGAGAAAAGATAAGAGATAAAATGAGAGTGAGATGAGAAGTTGAGAGTGAGTTGTTGTGTGGGATTTAGGGTGCGATTAAGGGGTATTTATAGGCGATTTTGAGAGATTTTTTTGGATTGTGACTGTTGGGCCCGCGAATGGCCCAACGGTCACATTTCTCACGGGTTGGAGGGCTTCTTAGCGGGTTGTTTCGCCGACCTGAGCCGAGCCGAACAAGGGCCGAATCTGGACTTGGGCCGAACTGGGCTTAGGCCGGGCCGCGGGCCTTCACGAGCTAGGGCCGAGCTTGGGCTGCGGGCTGATAAGCTGCGGCCCAGCCCTAGCCCATCAAACGTGCCAGGCCAGCACGGCTCGTAACAGTACCGTACTAGGCCGTGCCGAATCCGGCACTATTACGGGCTAGGCTGGGCCGTCCATGGACAGTCCGGCCCATTTGACAACACTACCATAAATGATAAGCACACGTTCACAAATTAAGTAAAATACCTTAAAGTCAACCTAATATAGATACCTTACATCATGGTTTCATACAAGATGATATGTTATCAATACCAAAAGAAGTTTTTATATGGTTCGAAGGAATTTAAAACACGTCATTGGTTTAAACAACATCGATACCAAGACATGAAGTTTAAAGTAGAAAAAGGACATAACTCTTATATTGTTAAAAAGTAAGTTAATATATATATATATATATTACGAATATATCCAGAAATTTTTTTGATATTTTCACAAAATTTTCCTAAAATTTGTCATATTTAGTTAGTTAACACTACACTTTTCACGGAAAATGGATATTTCCATGAAAATATCAACATTTACAGAAATTTTTGTGGAAATTTTAAGATATTCTACAAAAAAAAAAAAATACTACATCTCTATTTCTATATAAGTACTTTTAAAATGCGGAAATTTTCGCGAAAATATCAGTGAAAATCTCGATTTTTCAATCCTTGCTTATATATGCTGGCTAATTTTGTATTTTTACTACTATAGTTCTTTCATTCCTTTGATATATCCACAAGTATGATCCCTTATAATCAGTTAGTGATTATAATTCACTGAATTCTATTTTTATTTTTATTACTTCAATTCATTGTTATAGAAATTAAATCATTATTTAGCAGATATAGAATACTAATTTAAGTGACATATTTCGCTACAACTCCAAGAAATAATTTTGTTGGGTTCCGTAGTAAATAAGAACAAAAATAAAACCAAATAATTTATATATATTATTCAGAAAAAGAATCATGATTAGAGATGAGTTGTTACTTCTATTCTATACATCTCAACCCCAAAAGCGTCAAGTAATTTAAAGGATATCACTATCTTAATCGCGGTTTTTGTCAGAGAAAGGAAAACTTTCATGTGGGCATTTCCTCTAAATGGTGGGCATAGTTGTACAAATAAAACATTGTGATTTTGCTAAGAACTCTTCTAATATCTGGTCCAACCAAGTGGGAAAACATAATCGTCTCAGGTGGTAATCTCGTGTAAAAGAAAAAATGAGGTGGCCATATAAAGTTACGGATATATCCGGAAACTGATACGGAGTTTGAAGTAGAAAAAGGACATAACTTTAATACTTTTAAAAAGTAAGTTAATATATATATATATATATATATATATATATAAAAGGTTGCAGATATATTTTAAAATTTTTTTGATATTTTCACGAAATTTTCATAAAAGTTCTATCATATTTAGTCAGTTAATACTACATTTTTCACGAAAATGGATATTAACGTGAAATAATCAACATTTACAGAAATTTTTGGGAAAATTTTAAGATGTTTTACGGAAAAGATATTTTATCTCTATTTCCATATTAGCACTTTTAAAATGTGGAAATTGTCGCGAAAATATCAATAGAAATGTCGATTTTTCAATCCTTGCTTGGCTAATTTTGTATTTTTACTACTATAGTTCTTTCATTCCTTTGATATATTCACAAATATGATCCCTTATAATTGGTTAGTGTTTATAATTCACTTAGTTCTATTTTTATTTTTAGTACTTCAATTCATTATTATAGAAAACAAATCGTTATTTAGAAGATATAGAATACTAATTTAAGTGACATATTTCGCTACAACTCCAAGAAATAAATTTGTTGGGTTCCGTAGTAAATACGAACAAAAATAAAATCAAATAATTTATATATATTATTCAGAAAAAGAATCCTGATCAGAGATGAGTTGTTACTTCTATTCTATACATCTCAACCCCAAAAGCGTCAAGTAATTTAAAGGATATCACTATCTTAACCTTAGTTTTTGTCAGAGAAAGAAAAACTTTCATGTGGGCATTTCCTCTAAATGGTGGGCATAGTTGTACAAATAAACCATTGTGATTTTTCTAAGAACTCTTCTAATCGTCTCGGTTGGTAATCTTGCATAAATGGAAAAATGAGGTGGCCATATAGGGGTCAAATTAAGGGATCGTTTAGTTGGCTAATTCGAGTTAATACGAGACTTTATGTAAGAGCTTTTTATTGTAGTAAAAAAGTTAGATATGACTGTTTCGGATAGATTTTTACTGTAACAAAACTCAAATTCTAAACTCGAATCGGTGAAATAAATGGGGCTTAAGTTGTCAATTGCCAAACAGTTTTTGAGATGTGGAATTCATGCTATCAATACCACTTTGTTTTACATCACGGTGGGTGTGATATGTTATCACTCACAATACTTTGATACCGACAACATCAAACGTCATCCGAAATTGAACTCATAATAGTTATTATGACAAGCATATTCACGATGATTAAATTGTAATACCACTTTAAAGCTAATCGGAACCCGACAACATAGTCACATCGTTTGGAATTTGGAAGTTTGCTTTTGGGCGTCTTTTTATAGAAATACCAGTTTGTGCTTAATTTTATGTGGTAGAGAAAGTGGACCATCTTTACTAGTGATAGGAACCTTAAGTTTGGTCTTTGCAGGTCGAATCAATCATACCATAAACTATTAATAAATAACCAAATTCCGTGCCATACAGTAGCATGATACTACAGAATTTGGAAGTTTGCTTACCACTCTAGGAATCATCTATAAGGCATTTTGAATTAATCGTACCATAAATCAATCATAGTTGGCTAAAAGACTTGAGTCGTTTTCATTGACAGAGTGGAGTTCATCATGCTTTAAACCCGGACCCATATAGGGGTGTTTTCGGTTCAGATGGAGAGAAGTATGCAAGAGACGTCCAGGATCTTATCGAGTTTGGAACTTCTGGACATGTTGCTGCTTTTATGTCTGAAGCTATCCAGGTACGTCAACCAATCTAACTCGGTTCGAATGCCTTATTCCCCTTTTTTTCAGCTTTTCTGGAGTTCATCATGCTTTTTGCTACTTGTACCAAATGAGAAATGTTCTTCATATAAATGGCAGGGAGTAGGGGGAATTGTGGAGTTGGCCCCGTGTTACTTGCCCGCTGTTTACAGTAGCATAAAGAAAGCAGGCGGCCTTTGCATCGCTGATGAGGTCCAGTCTGGGTTTGCTCGCACTGGGAGCCACTTTTGGGGATTTGAGATCCAAGGTGTTGTGCCTGATATAGTGACAATGGCAAAGGTTAATCTTATTTCTGTTCTTTTTACCCTCCACCAAATGACATGAAGAAACCTTGTTTTCTTTTGGATTCCACCATATTGATATCCTTTTTATGCACTACTATAAGTTCAAAGGGATTTACAACTTTTGCTCCCTAGTGAACATAAGAAGTTGGCATTTCGTTGTTAAATTTTTCTTCTCTGAAATCTATAGGGGATTGGAAATGGCATTCCCCTCGGTGCTCTGGTGACGACTCCTGAGATTGGTGAGGTCCTGACTCGTCGCAGTTACTTCAACACCTTTGGTGGAAACCCTGTATGCACAGCTGCAGGATTAGCTGTTTTGAAGGTGATTGAGAAAGAAAAGCTTCAGGAGAATGCCTTTGTTGTGGGGTCCCATCTCAAGGAGAGACTCACCGCATTGAAGAACAAATATGAACGTAGACTCTCTTGTCGTTGTCTTTGCATAAGTATTCTGTTCTGTACCGATATGCACAACAAATTCCCTTGTCGATTTGTGCTAGAAAAATAAATATGGCCAGTTACTCAAATGAAAGATACTTAAATTTACAACACGAGCAACCCCGAATCCTCATTAATACTTGTTCCTTGCAGTTATTGGGGACGTGAGGGGAAGAGGACTCATGCTCGGTGTTGAACTAGTCACCGATCGTCAATTGAAGACACCTGCAAAGGCTGAAACCTTACATGTAATGGATCAAATGAAAGGTTTGTGCTCCATGTTATTCGACTCCACTCATGACATAAACTTTCTCACAGCTAAAACAAATTCTCAAGTTATCTTCTGCTTTCTTGACTATTTATCATCAGATTTAGGGGTGCTGATAGGTAAAGGTGGATATTATGGAAATGTTTTTAGGATTACACCTCCTCTCTGCTTCACCAAGGACGATGCAGGTACTTTTTTTTCCACAAAATCAAACTAGAGAAAATTGTCCTCCGAGTTTGTGTTTTTCTTCTGAGTTTAGTATTTAACTTGTTGAGCATCTTAATTCTTATGGCAGATTTCCTCGTGGACGTCATGGATTACACATTGGGGAAGATTTGAAGAAGCCCACAAAATAAGTGTCTATGTAAATGTCTAATTTATTAGGCACAAATAGATCTAAGTAGTACCTTTGTATGATGAAAGGTCTCTTGTATGGGTGAAATATAATCTACATGGTTTGTGCATTATTTGTTCTCTTGATCCTCATAAATGATGAGTCAACACCTCGTTGTCTCTCCGATATTGCATCATTTGATTTCTTCTTGATACGAACCCCAAGCGACTTGCCTTGAGACCCTGCAACAATATTTGTTAAAATGCCCAGAACAGCTAAAAATACAGACTTGTAGTTGTATGGACCTTGACCCAACGTTTATAACGAAACGCGAACCAGAGGTATAAGAAGATGAAACCTTGACCCAAAGACTATAAAAGGCGCCAACCAAAGGTATTAGTTTGAACGCCGAAAGAGTTCTCCGAAGAACCAAAGAGGAAAAACCTCACTTTAATCTTATTATTAATCTTTTGAAGTTACAATACTTGGTTCTTACTTGCCTTTATATAGGCTGCAACCCCGAAAAAACGCCCATAAAAAGAAAAGCAAACAAACTTTTGGCAATAATGCCTTACAATCAGGAAAGTAATGTCCTAGTATAAGGAAAGTAAATTAACCTATTACAATCAGGAAAGTAGTAGTCTAGAATAAGGAAATTTAGGCTCGTTCACTTCGCTGATTTGAGTTTGTAATTCGAGTTGAGATGTAATTTTATGTGAGAACTTTTTACTGTAGTAAAAAAGTTAGAGATGTGACTGTTTCTAAGAACTTTTTACTGTAGCAAAACTTAAATTCTAAACTCGAATCGGTGAAGTAAGGGCCTTAACCTATTACAATCACGAAACTAATGATCTAAAAAATAAGGAAACTTCCATATCTGAATTATCAAGTCAAGTTTCCTATTCTTGCCCTCAATTCTGTACGACCTTATTTATGACTTGAATCAAGTTGACTAATTTCTGATCTTCTCTTGGCTCCACCGTGGCATGTATATTTTTAACATCAGCCCATATATTTTGAATCAGCCCACTGAATGCTTCTCTAATCTTCTTGGCCCGTGCTCTTGTAATTGGTCCAACTGGAATTTGTAACGGATTCTTTGACGTTCCTTGGTTCTTGGACGTTCCATGATTCTCATCACTTCTTTGTGGCAGTGCCGAGAATCTTATAATTTCATTGAATAGCGTCCCGACTATTTCTCTCCTTTGACATTAAAAACGTATGAGTCACTTGCTTTCTTTGCTGCATGAGGAAAATTGTTATTGGCATGAGAACAGTATGCACTTTTTGCCCATGGTTTGATATCTGTATTTTCATAATTGTAGGATCACCTTTTCTTTGAAGTAGTTCTCAACGCAAAATTTTTGAGTTTCATAAAGGAGAGTATTCCATTCAAACCTGTGAAGTCTAAGTGCTTTTGCTAACTTATTAGTTGATCTGTAATTGTATATTTTATTGATCTCATACTCTCATAGTGCTAATATGTATCTCCGCAATCAAGTCCTTGAATTGTTTCCGATAAATCAACCTCGAAATGTTTCTCACCAGTCTCTAGTAGTTAGCAACTTGGCATTTTAGACTAATACCTGTTTATGTATGTAATTAAGTTGTTTTTTATTACTTTATTTTACTTTGTTCTTTATTTTAGTGTAAATTGACTTCAAATTAGTTTATATTTTTTCCTTCAAAAAGAATTGTTTACCTTAGTTTTTCTTAAAATGTAAGATATTATACGAGCGTATAAGATATAGTTAGTTTTACAAAAGTTTATTATTTGTTGCTCGGCACATTTGAGTTGGGAAGTCTTGCGGTGGAGCTGGAGCTACAAGGCACTAGAGGCTCTCACCGAGGTGAGCCCCGGTCTCTGGGACCATCGTGTCTTGCAAAGCTGCATAGATTGACTTTTTTTTTTTTTTTTTTAATTTTGTTTTTCTTTTGAGGGAAAGAACTTAATAGCATCAAGTGGCTAAATCAACCAAAACAGCAAAGACTACAAATAACGGGACACCCGCAATGCCCTAGTAACTCACAAAATTAAGAAAACTAGAACTTAATTACCAAAAGGTGGGCTACCCTATTTCCAACTCGAGATATATGATATCTTAATATCTTTAATAACACATCAGACACTAGCTTAACAAGGTTGATAGCATCAGTTTCAGCACAATCAATAGATATACCAACCAACTGGGCAAGTTCCAATTCGGCTCTGAGTGCTAGGCTCTCAACAACTTGGGGAGATTATTGGCCCTCTAATCTTTGCGCCAAGCAAGCAATTACTAACCCAGCAGCATCTCTAATTACCCCACTAAGACCAAGACCAACAAAATCCGCTTCCTTTTTAATCGTTGCTGCATCGGTATTTAATTTGAAGCAACCATCAGGTGGAGGCATCCAAAGTATTTGGCTGCACTCAATGGCTAGGACTGGCACATTTGAGGCTTTATATCACAGCTTGTAATCATCGATAATTCGTTCAACAGTCACTAAGACTTCCATAAAATCCCTCTGAATCTGTTGGTAAACTAGCAGATTGCTACTCCACCATAAGCTCCATGTGAGGGCACAAAATACTTAAACATCAATATCCAATTTAAATCTGTCCACCAGGCTGGATAGACGCATTAAATGAAAAACATCTACTGCTCTTAATGAGTGATCAGAAGATGAGGCTTGCCACACCTCTTTAGCACCGGGACAATCCCACAACACATGCCAACACCGTTTTCGGAAGTATCTCCACAATAACGACACCTATCAATACAACAAACTCCCCTTCTGTTGAGCTTAACTTCTTTTTTTTTTTTTTCTCTTTTGCTAATACTGAGCATCACAAATTTGGACATGATAAATGTTGCGGCATGATTAGGTAAGAGAGCTTTGGCTATGGGCAGCATTCTTGATGTTTAAATTTGCATGAATCAGCACAATTTAGAAATGATGGAAGGATAATTAAAAATAATAATAAAAAAAAAAGAGATACGCACACACAATTTAGCAATGGAGTGTGACTAGCATTGTCCACAAGACATTAGTCATGCCAACACTTGACGGCTACTTTAACATCTTGGTTTCAACAGGGACTCGGTTGTGTGTATAAAAGCATAGCGCATCCTTGCATAAATGAGCAGAGTAAAGCGCTTGAAGAATCAAAGTGAATCATCAAAAGTAAGCAATGTGACTTCATTAATTTCGATAGCTGCAGCAATGTTGTATTATCATTTTCCAAAAACTTAACACTAGTTATCACGAAGTAGAGGTGTCAATTTAGGCTATCCAGCTCGGCCTAGTGGCTCGAATGTTGAAATCATGCCAATTGAGTAGAAGGTGGAACCCCGTCCAAACTGAAATTTTTAGGAGGAAATTTTAAGAAGACTAACTGAACTGGACTTGGTCCAATTATCTTTAAATGTCATAAAAAGTTATAGATGACAACAGAAAAAGTTATAGAGAACGATATTTCTAATAAGAGTGTCGTAAAAGTCATTTGAAACAACAATTGTTGACACTACAATATTGTCAAAATACTTTTTGTTTAACGACAAGGGTGTGATGTCGTTATAACAATTTTATTTGATGACATTATGACGTATGTCGTGATTTTTATTTTATTTAGTGACCTTATTGCAATGTCATTAAAATAATGTTACTTGACGACATTTAGTACACGTCGTGTTGGGGGTGGTTCTTTCATGACCAGAAGAACATGACAAGCACCAGACCAGGCCCTAAGCTGACCACTGACTGGGCCCTAACGAGGCCCATTGTTGAGCACCCGACCAGGCCTCAGGCTGAGCCCCGACCAGGCCCCGGGCTGAGCACTAGACCGGGCACCCGACCAGGCCCTGGGGGGAGCACCTGACCAGGCACCATTCCGAGCACCCGACCAAGCCCCGTGCCGAGTCCCGGCCAAGCATCTAATAAGCCTAATCCCGGCCCCAAGCTGAGCACCCGACCAAGCCCCGGGCCAAGCCCTACCGAGCCCCAACCAAGCACCTGACCAGACCCCAAGCCGAGCCTCGGCTGAACCGTAATGGAGCCCCAGGCCGAGCACCCGACGAGGCCCTGGGCCAAGCCCTGACCAGACCCTGGGCTGAGCACTAGACTGGGCACCTGACCAGGCCACGACCGGGTTCTGAGCTGAGTACATTTTCCGAGCACCATTCGGCCCCAACTGTTGGAACAGGAGTAATGTCCAATCAACCAACTAACTGCCATGTGGCATCCACTTTACACCCGGGTTACCGCCGGGTTCCGGGTTGGATTACCCAAATCCGGAAAATACTCTATAAATACCAAGCTCATTAGCTAACAATGGTACGGACATTTTTCCTACCTAACTTTGCCCACTCATTTATTGCTCCTGACCAAAACACTGACTTAAGCGCCGAAGTACCGTTGGCAAACACCACACCAGTGTCCCCTCACTCCGAAGCCATATCCTCTTTTGTTGCAGGTCATAACAGTACTAGGGATTCATCCCGAACAGTGCTAAGACTTGAGTAGAACAGCGCTAGGGATCTGTCCCGAGCAGTGTTAAGACCAGAGCAGAACAGTGCTAGGAATTCGTTCCGAACAGTGCTAGGGATTCAACCATAAGAGGTGGAGAAAAGAGTCTTGTTACCATGCGCTTCCGCACACGGTGTTGTGTCAGATTTCGGCATCAACATTTGGCGCTAGAAGGAGGGCACTGCCTCTTTCCAATACACTCAAATGTTTCCAAAAAGCTCAGAATACCAGAAGATCAAAAGGTCATAGGGTCAGAAGATAAGATGGTCAGAAGACCAAAAGATCAGAAGTCGGAAGACAAAAAAAAAGTCTAGCGACAAGAAGAATAGAAGATTAGAAGACTAGAAGGTCAGAAGACTAAGTATTTGAATAGAGCAGCTCCAAGTCCGCCTGTAGAGCAGTCCGAACAGGGCTAGCATTCGACCAACTCCAGGTCCACCTGTAGAGCCGTTTGACCAGGCCAATCAGGTCCAAGAGACCCATTTGACCAGGTCGATTAGGTTCAAGTCCGACCAAGTCCAAGAGACATGTCTGACCATTCCAATCAGGCCTAAGTCCTACTAGGTCTAGGTCCACCTGTAGACCCGTCTGGCCAGGCCGATCATGCCCATGTCTGACCAG